GGTTTTGTTATATAATTTATTTCGGATCAATTAAGTGTGCGGACCGTGTGAGACGGTTATGTTTTGGTTTCTGCAACCGCAAACAAAAATAATATAAAGTAAATAATAATTTTAGTATCGAAATTTGAATAAAAAATTTTTTATTACTAAATTTATTGTTATTTCACACATCTACCGACATTAATATTTAACCAAAACGCAAGCATTTGTTATTAAACATTTTATATTATTTCATCTCTAACCCCAAAGGCTATTATTTTCAACTCACTAATAGAATTGGCTTCATGTCTACAAGGCGCTCATACTGTTGGAGTATTTAATCAAAACTGGCACCGAGAAAGTGGTCAACAGTGCAAATTAATATTTTCCATACACAAAACTGGTGAATTCGTGTACTTTGAGCAGTTAAGACCTGGCACGCATCTGCGCAAAAAGGCTAAGCAGCTGGTGAATTTATTGAAAGAATTGATGTGCGTCTACAACTTGCGCTGAGCCAGAGCGAACAAGATTTCAAGTGTGTACATTTATTGTCTGCCGCCATTCCAAAATTCTTTCATTTGTCTACTATTCCAGAGATCAAACGGTTCCAGCTGCCGGTGCCTAAAGAGGAAGAGTCACAATCACATCTGTTAGAATTGCTGAACATTTCTCTGCTCGCCACGAGTATTTTAAGTCCACCATTGGGCGCCACACAATTTACTGAAATCATTTTGTATCTTCAACACAGCATCACTACTCGATGAAATGGATCCTCTGTCTGCAACGAATTCATCGCTCAATGCATCATCAACGAATACGAACAAAAAACTGAAAACACCGCAATCATTTTTAGGTGAAAATTCGTCATAAGTTTTGTTGAATAATCTAATAAAGCCCGTGCAAACGCAGTCACAAGCTGGCAGTGCTGCCTACAATCCATTTAGCGATACTGTTATACCATCAAAAACAAATCTATTCCTACAACAACAGCCTGAGGTGAGTCATTTATGTAATATTCGCTTGTATTAAATTTGCAATTAAGAAAAGATCGGTTATAAACACTCAAAAGCTACTGAAAGCTAAAAAAAATTAACCTATCCGTTTGCTTACTGTTATTTACAGGTACCGCCCATTAACCAGCTCAAACAGCGAAAGAGTTTTGCTATGACTATGAATCAGGATCTCCACTAATGCGTCTCAGGTACGTTTAGCCATATAGTTATAGCAAAATGCCATAATTTCATAAAAAAAACGAAAATTAATTTAAAATTTCTCGTAAACAATATTTTCAAGTAGAGAAAAAATTTTTGAAAATATTTTATGAGTAATTTAAGCCAATATCTTTGGTGCATGGTCTGCTAGGGTCTAAAATGCATTATGCGGTTCCAAAATTCTTAACTAATTACTGCCCCTCACAAATATTTATTGCGTATAGTGATTATTTCGCTTAATTCAATTTTTTATAGTGAATGTGTTCTAAATATATTATTTTTTTTTACTTACTACAATTTGCTATAATTTATCTTATACTTTCATTTGACTTTATTAGCTCAATTAAATCCTGGAATTATCAATTCTTTGATTTTTTTTTGGATTTCTATTCTCAATTCATCAAAATAAAAAAAAAGTAAAATGATTGCTTACGCATGAAAACAAAAACCAACCAAAGCAACAACGAAAAATTGTTCTTTTCTCCTTTTGACAACCAAGCCCTCCAGAAACTTCTTCACTGATTACGATAGCGACGACTTTACAAGTTTCAATAGCAGCAGCGAGCGTAATCACATTGACATACTTAATAATAGTAATAATAGTAATAACAAACAAGCCAACAACAACTACAATAACAATAACAAACCAGCTATGCAATACTCCAAAAGTGACTATGACGTCTTCAACTCCTCGTTTGTCAGCACAAGCGACTTCTTTATTTATCCCAACAACAACAACCGCAATAACAACATTAATAAAAGTAAACAAGATGGACCATACCAATTATAATTCTGGTGGGGGCTTCGTCATTCATTGTGCAGAGTATCGAATCGCCAATCTGTTCCGCCAGCTCCATTTCCTTACAATCGTTTGACAGGCAGGAGTGCCAAAGATCATGGTGCGCGTTAAAGTCGCCTAGAAGTAGCTAGTTTTCACCAAGAAGTAGCGCACGTATATTCGGGTGATATCCTGTTGGGCAACATGTAACTGGGGGAATGTATATATTAAATATCTCAAGCTCGGCATCCCCTGACCGGTCAGCTATACCCTGATATTCAAGGGTAGTGTCCCTGCGGTCAATGTCAACATCGATTAGACGATATTGCACAGTGTTTTGCAGTATGAAGGCTCGGCCTACACCATTATCTTTCTCGCGATCCTTTAACTTGGTTTCTTGGACCGCAGCCATCGATACGCGGTCTCGGCTCAGAAATGCTGTCTCCTCGATCTTACTTTGATGTCCTTTGTTGTAAAAGTCGCTTTTGTATCGGTCGGTCGGTACGTGTAGGTGGTAGTAAGCTGTAATATCCGCATGGGTGGTTGTCACATAGTGGAGTTGTTTGGCGACACCATTATATGGAATTCGGGGGCAGACTCCTACAGCACGGGGCAACTTACGACGCACTGGTGTTCTGGAGTTTCCGGCTCCATGTCACAGAATCGACAGTTTGGTTACGGTATGTATGTATGAAAGCTACTCACCATAAACGGAAATTCATTTTCCTGTTCAAGCTTGCCATTTGTTATGAATATAAAGGAGAATTTGCGGTGATCTCGCTCAGATTCTGTAATGAGAAGGTGGAATTATCAAATTTTATAATGATTTAAGCAAACAAACAAGTAAGTACGTCAATTTTATTGCAATGTTTGCACTTTTTATTTACACATTTACTTATAACACTCACGAATTTGCGATATTCTTTTGTCTGAGGGCTCATCTAGTGAGGGGCAACACAGAAATCGTGTTGTTCCATTGTAACTGCACACACCCAAACATAAATCCTGCAACTCCTTGGTCAACTTGAAGTAATTAGCGCGTGTTATATAGCTGACAAGCCGGTTTCGTGGTGTTAAACAAGGCTGATCCTCGTGGCAGGCCATTGCTAAGTGAAATTTGTACCATTTTTTATTAAAAAATTATATAATAAATAAAAAGGATTTAAAAAGTAAAATATTATATTTTATATTTACTTATAAGTAGCAACTGAGCAACTGATGAAAAGCTGTGTAAAAGGCATTGGCCTATACATGCAAGCGTTTTTCCTTCACCTTTTACCTGAACTTCAAACGAGCGCAGCGCATCTGACCGCAAGGATGACCAAACTTGTTCTGAAGACTTGCAGTTCTTCGTTAGAAGAAGATGCTGTTGATCTTAGATACCTACACACCTGTTAGCAACACTGATAAGAACAAATCACAATTTGACTAACCAGAAAATCAAAATATTACAAAATTTTCAAAATAAAAATTTCAAATAATCAAAGAACTTTAACTTCGGTTGCACCGGATCTATAATACCCTTCACAGGTGCATTTCTTACGGCATAAAAGGGTATAAAAATATATTTATTTTTATTTTGAACCGCCAGTTAGTATGGCAGATATATGCTATAGTGGTCCGATCTGAACAATATACTCGTAGATTACAGCGTTGCCTTGGAAACTAATCCAATCCAAATTTCGCGAAAATATTTGGTCAAATGAAAGTGGTTTCCATACAAAGGATTGATTTTGATCGACCGGTTTGTATGGTAGCTTTAAACCATACTATAGTGGTCCGATATCGGCAGATCCGACAAATGAGTATCTTCTTGGGGAAAAAAGGACGTATGTAAAATTTCTAATGGATCTTAGGCAGACAGTCGGACATGGCTAAATCGGCTCAACTCGTCATGCTAATCCTTTATATAGTTATTTTATAACGTCTTCAATATTTCCTACTGGGTGCTACGAACTTCGATATAATAAGACCGTTTTATTACACTTCTTTTTTTGAAGTTGTTGTTGCATTGTTCATCGATCTACTGTGCACTATGCTATAGCAGGTAAGCTTAGTTTAAGTATGAGTATATCATTACTATTGAAGATTATTTCATTAGCTTTATATCTTAACTGCTAGTAGCTGCTAACTATCATGAAGAAGAAAATTGACAGTTACTCTCACAAAGATCGAAATAACGAAAAAGTAAAGAAACGGAAAACTAACAGAAACTAGCAAGAAAATATCAAAATGTTTAACAAAATCAAAGCAAATGCGTAAAATATCGCTTGATCACATGTGCTTTAACAGCTGTCTCTTCATATGGCAGTAGATATTTTCTGCTAGTAGAAATTTCAATAGCAGAAACTAGTAGCTCTCTCAGCTTTTTACGCTCTCAACTTGTCCCCTCTTCTGTTAGTTTTTTGAGTTAAGAAACGTTTTCCCAGCAAAAACTTTGTTAGCTAGCAATAGTTAGCAGTTAAGATACAAACCTATTATGACTGTTTTGCTTTTTAACTGAAACTTTTTCATTCAAAGGATTCTCGAGTTAAGATTTGTCCCATTTAATAACAAATTATTCTCAGTATAGCTCACTTATTAGTAGATACAGTAAATTCAGTATATTCCTGTGTCAGTTACCGCCAGATTTTTTTAAAGCCGTAAAAAATATCAATCATTAGGAGTGTCCTAAAGCTCTTTAGTTTTATATATAAAATTAATTAATATTAGATAAAATATAATTTTTGTCAATGCATATATTTCTACCTAAATGTTTGTTTATTTATAAATTGTTTCCTCAATCCAATCAAAATATTCAGATATACGTGTATAAATGCCCGGGGTACCTGTGCCGCAGCCAATACCAAACGACGTAATACCTACAATATAAGCCATAAGACTGTAGCCGTCGATTTTTTCATACACAATCAAAGGACCACCAGAATCGCCCTGGAAAATGAGAATAATTAGGTTATAAATTATTGTAAATATAATTAACAAAAAATGGTGTCATGTGATATATTATATACAATATATTAGAAAAAGTTGATTTTTATATTACCTGACAAGTATCACGCAGTTTTTCATAATCTTTTGCGCATAATTGTGTAGGGACTACACCCGAGCTGAGCACTTCATCATCTTGTTCATAATGTTGATTACACTCCTCATTGGATATGGTCGATAAACTAGTTTTCATTAAGAGTGGTGATGAGGTACCAGCTGGAAGATGCAAAAATATTAAATTGAATAAAAACTTGGCCACTTTCCCTGCTTCTTACCAAACTGCGTATTGCCATAGCCTATGGCAGTGACTTCCTGCTCAGCCAGTGGCTTATACCATACACATGCTCTAGCAACAATCCACGTGTAACTACTGCAATTCAATAATCTCTGTAGTCAATATTCTTCAAAATATCTATAAATGCACTCACAGAAATACTTTCTCCATACGAACGATTGCTATGTCATTATATAGACCAGGATATATGTAGTTGGGGTGTTCAATAATCTGGTCGATATCATAATCAATCGCTGTGGTGCTATTAAGGTCGAAACCACCTGGACGCACCACAACTGGCAGATCACTGAAGAGTAATTAGAAAAGGAAGTTAGAAGAAAATTGAAAAAATCAAATTTCTACAGTCTACCTAGAGTGATAGAAACAGTGGGCCGCTGTTAACAAGTATCTGCTGGCGATCAAAGTTGCACCACACCTATAAGCTATGCTCTCTGTACCATCCTCTTTGGTGATACGCCAACCCAAGGCAGCCTCCCATTTAAGGAAACAAAATTTTGTTGAAATATTTACATATTTAAATATTTACATATGAATATTTTAAAATCCAGCTTACCATAAATGGAAACTCATTTGGTTTAGCCACTACGCCAAATGTAATAAATTCATACTGCAAATGATCGTCTATGCATGCTGTGGGTGTTATTTAAGGGTTAGATTATTAAATTATTTACTATTTTAATTCAAAGAATTTTCAAACCGATATTAACACTGTAATTATTTAATATTTAATAATTTAAACGGGTGACAGCTCTTATAGACAAAATCTTTTTAAAATTTCACTGTATTTTCAATTTAGTTTAATTCATTAAAATTTGTAAATATGTGGCAACCATCTAAGAAATAGTTTTTCGAAACTCCGCAAATCAAAATTAATAACAATAATTATTTGTATTCTTTATGAAATAAATACCATCTAATTAAATTTGACCCGGACTGACACATTTTAATAGAAACATTTATTATTGCCTTTACCAATTGGTTCTTGAGCTATTACAAGCATGCCAACGCTTAATCCAATTTTCTATACACTTGTTATAAGCGTCGGCTGGAATAGCCTTCAGTTCCTTCATGATTCCACTGGACTTATTACAGATTTTTCAGTTTTCAAATCAAAACAGTCATAAGGAGCTAAATCTGGCAAAAGATTCAGGTCGTTTGGTTCGAGTGCAGCATCGACACACTTTATACTCAAAACATTAACCAATCCGTGTAGAGTCGATCCATTAGAGAAGCCGATCCTCTGCTATTTCTCTGTTGCCAGCACGATAATTTTCAAGCACTATTTCTTTTACATTTTCGCGAGTTTATCGTTATAAAGAGAGGTGAAGAGACAACTCGCTGAGACAAATTTTCGATGACTTTACGACATTCATTGAATGCTTTGCGTCACTCAAATATTTGTGTTTGAGATAAAGTAGACTTCACAAAACACTTCTGCAACATTTTTGACAATTCCGTAGCCGTGATTCCATTGAAAACACACAATTCAATTTGATTGTACATTTTTTTTACGGTAAAAATTGCCTGACAAATTTTTCGCGTCGTAAACTAACAGCGGTGGATATCAAACTTCACACGAAGATTAAAAAAGTTCGTGGAAGCAGTTTATATGTACCAGTCCGGGTTATATTTGATCAGATGGTAATAAATAAATTAAAAAATATGATATGCAAAACATACATATATACATACATTGATATAGTAAGCGATATTTTTGGGGTCGAGTATTGAATGTGCAACAAATCAGCGTCACGTTATTATCAACACAATTACCCTCACAATTGTTTTTCTGACTATCAGTAAGGGTTTGAAATCCCTCAGGTGTGTAATAATATCCTTTAAAGTTTTTCGGTGTGTAACATTCTTGACTATTATAGCATGCGTCGGCTGTCAAAAACAAGTGAACAACTGTTAATAAAATTATTAAAAAATTAGAAAAGTCTTTTAATAAATGCGCTAGTTACCTTATATTATTAAACTTCTATTTTAAATTTTTTTTATATACATACTTGTATATAGAAAAATTAAAAGTAATCCATTTACCCAATATCAACCAATAATTGATGCCAAAAATTATAGCTTTTGAATAATTGCCCAAGCGCAGCATCTTCTCCAACTTCTAGAACTGTCTGACTGCGAGTGAAAACAAAACTTGAATGTGAGAATTTAATGCTGCTGGCAAACATTAAGCTACTAATCGGAAACAATTGCTGTTAAAAAATGTACAGCTGAAAACAAGTGAGTAACGCCTTTAAGCTTCGAAAACGCTTGAGAACAGTTTGCTAACAGGTTTCATACGAAAGAAATGCATTCATAATTATCTTAATTATTATTATTTTTTTATTGAAATTTTTGTGTGTTGTTTTTCTTAAGAAATATTTGTTTCTCTATACACTGTGTGAAAATTTGTTGTTCGTTTCGAAAGTATACGAGTAAAGATTTCAGGCTGTTGATGTAAATATGTAAAGGTAATGGAAAACGCGCGAGAAGCTTTTTAAATGAAAAATATCTAATTTTATTTATGAAATGATTTCTACTTGAAGAACTAGTAGTTTTTACATATTTTAAACCAGGATATTTAAAATTTATGAATATAATTTCGTTTCTTTTCATCAAATATGCCACGTTTACAAGGCACCGTATAAAATGTTTGATTAAAGCACATTCGACTTCGAAAATCTGCTCCTATTTGCTTGTATATTCGCGCCAACTACTCTTTACTACTTTTTATAAAAACACATTATTTGAACTCCATTTCTATGTTTGTGAGGACATTAAAAATTATTAATGCAATTTGTGGTAAATCATTATCCTGTTCAAACATCCTATTCAAAATAATTAATCCAATACGGCATTTTTGCACAATTGTCTGAAATTTTATGTTCATTTGGACAATTATAATAAAAACAATTGATTTCAAAAAATTTGCTTGTAGATTTTTTTTAAATTATGAAAAATAAAACAACTATAATTATTTCTACGTATTTCGATATGGTCTTTAAATGGTAGTTGGTTTCATCGATGTTTTTGAAAAAAATTGCAGCTAAGAACTAATTTCATTTGAGTTTAGAAAGGAACTAATGAATTCTCTAGAATATGCTGAAAATTGTAGTTTTAGACTATGAATGATATGAAGTATTCCAATCATTGCCAATGCTAAATAAGCAAGCCACAAAAATATTTATTCCAGAAGCATTAATAACCTCCGTTTGTGTTGCCAATGTAGTCTATTTTGAAAAACGTTTCCATATGATCCATAAAACCAAATTTATTGCCAAAATTTCTGTAGCTTGTGCTCATACTTGTATATATCACAATATATTTTCAATCAAATGTAAGTAGAAAAATTATGATATGCAAAATTGGGAAAATGATTTCAATCCATTTCCCTCTTAAGGTTATTTTTTAACTCCGTTTTAGCTGCTTGAAATTTCTTTATTATATTATTCCTTCTTCACATTGGCACAGTTCGATTATATATTTAATATATATATATATTCAGAAATACGCGTATAACACCAGGCATGCCGGTGCCACAGCCGATGCCAAAGAAATGACACAACATAAGACATGGGATTAAGATCTGTCTGTTTGCTAAATTTAATAATTGGTCCACCTGAGTCACCCTGTTGCAGTAATGAAAATCGAATAAATTTAATTTCAAATAAAGAATAATAATTTGTAATCCCACCTGACATGTGTCACGCAATTTCTCATGATCCTTCGCGCATATCTGCGTCGATATAATGCCATCACTCAGCACACCGCTGTCTGGCTCATAGTGTAATTGGCACTCGCTGTTCTCAATTGTTATAATTTGTTTCATCAATAAGGGGAGGATACGCCAGCTGCTTACGGTTAATATAAAGGGTGAAGGGTACCACTAATAGAAATTTTAATACCCACCAAATTGAGTGTTCCAGCCCATGGCTGTAACATTATGTGCGAGCCCGGATCACCCCAAAGACATGCCGGCTCATCATGAAACGGGTTTCACTTTTGGCATAAAATATTAAATTTTATCTATTCAATAAATTATTTTAAAAAAGCATCCTCTCACTTAAATAGTGTCCTTAGGCGTATAATTGCAATGCCATTGTATACATTTGGATAATCATAATTGGGATGCTCTATAACTTCTTCGATTTCCAAGTCCCAAGCCTCAGTATCATTCAAGCGAAGCCACACGGATATACCACCAGGTAGATCACTAATATTTAATTTAATAGTAAATAAAACTCGTTTTTCTTTCATAATTTTCGTATCGAATGATAGAGCAATGCGCAGCAGTGATTACATAACCGCGATCGTATATAGTGCCCATTTGTAAACTATGTTCAAGTGTTCTATACGCGCCCAACCCAAGCAGCCTGGAAAAAAAAATTTTGTAAAACTTTAACTATATGCTTCAAAGATATGATCTCGCATGACCACCATTTTATTAATCCTTCCGCACATACTAGTCTCATACCTACCATAAAAGGAAATTCGTTGTCTTTGACTAGAACGCCATGTATGATGACGTCGTAATAAATGATTGTATGTGCATACTGAAAGATATAAAAAAGAATCAACAGTTCCTTGATATTATCATTTATGTAGTAATAGAAAATCGCTCGATACCTTGTTCCGATATTCTTTCCAATTTGACTGTGGCATCGTATGCACAACAACGCAATCGCAATGAACTGTTATGATGACAAAAACCATCGCAAAGCGTTTTGGCCTCATCGGACATGTATCCATATATCTCATCTTCCACATAGCGTCCGCTGTAGTTGAGTGGCGTTAGGCAATATTGTTCCTGATAGCAGGCATCAGCTGATTGGTAGTAAAAAACTCGAGAAAGAGCAGCGTTCGATTATAATTATGTTAGTAAATCAAAATTAATATGTATTACTACTTATCGCAGGTACTATCAATGTAGTGGCGTAGAAAAGTTGATCTTTATAAATTCTTCCCGGCACATAATTTTATTTGTAGTATTCAGGGTCAGTTTGACCGGTTCCGAGATTAGGTTGAATGCAATTCTGAGTTATATACTTTGACTTAGAACACATCTGAGTCAGGAAAGGGCTGTTAGGAGTTATTGATGAGATAATTTATTTTCAATAGAACGCTTCAGTCTTCTTAGTGTTGGCATTGGAAAATGTATATATTTGAATTCATTGGGGTGAATTCGTTAGATTCCGCAAACTTCACTAAATTCATTTAGACGTTTTCGGACTCAAATGATAGTAATCAATTTTTTGACATATACAATTCCAAACCAAGTTTTGTCTCTCTAATTAATTTTAATTGGATGGACGGAAGCCATTATTTGATTTGTGGGGATTCAATTAGCATAGACCCATTAACATGATATTGAGCCAAAATGTTTAAAATACTTGGAAAATTTAGAAGTGGTTAGGTCTGATGAAATATCCCTCAATTCTGGCACACTAGTGTAATCTGCTTCGTTCTACGCAACAGTGTGATCTAAGGTAAAATCATAAAAAAAAGTTCTTTCGAATGACGATTATTTCGCTCTGATCTGAGAAATGCGAATCTTTTTACATCAGTAATATATATTGAAAATATTCAACAGCCTAATATACCTTAAACAGAAGCTCGCAACTTTATTTAAGATACATTTAGTTTACTGTATTAACAAATTCCACATCCATATAGTATGATGTTAAATACATTCTACGTTTTTCAAAGCTTTATGATATGTAATTGTGAATATTGTGAGAATATTGCATACCGGTTTTGATTTTAAAGCACGATATAATATGCTTATTCAAGCTTAGAGGATAATCAAGTGTCAGTTTAGACATTTTCTTTGAAAATCTAATTTTGTTAAGAGTTGTTTTCTTTTTCTATATTTATATATAGAAAATAAATATGTATAATAAAGAATAAATAAGTCTTCACCAGCTATTGCTATGAGACTAGATATGGGAAAGAAAGTAGACTTGAGGAATACCGCAAATTCGGAAATTTTGTTCCCTTTTTTGAAATTTGTAATATAATGATCATAGGTTTTTTGTTATTAATTATTATTAATTCATATCGTAATTTTTTGTACTTCCATATACATACAGTTACTGACAATAAAATAGAAACACTATTTTCTTCACAAATATTGGAAAAAAAACGTGTTACCACAGTTCTTAGGAGAAAACAATTATTTTTTTAGGTAATAAAACTTATTTTAAACATTTCAAAAGCAAATATAACTTGAAATAAATTTAATTATTATCAGCAGATAACAGTTGAAGGAATTGTTAGGAACTTCAATAGACAATGAAATAGAATCATAGAAACAAAACTCGTAAACAATAGGCTATTATAACTAAAAATGCATATAAGTCTCCAATAAGTAATTTTGTTGCAAAATCTTTATTTGCGAATACGGCAGTGCACCTTTCCGGCATAGATTTCACTAGAGCTTTGCACACTGAATTCGGTATTGAATACCAAACCTCTTGGACTTTTTCCTATAGGTCCTCCCACTTCGTGGTTTAATGAGTCCCAACTTTGACTTTACAATCTCTCATGCATCACGTACCACGAAAAACATCCCCATATCATGATATTACCACCTCCGTGCTTGAAAGTTTTTGTGGTGTACCGAGTATTCATTTCAGCATTCTTTGAACATCGAACCCAAATATTTCCATCGCAACCTACCATATTTATTTAGATTTATCCACACAAGGACTTTACTCCACTTTTTTGTATTGTCTTCACCGGTCCAATTAATGTGCACTAAAGCAAAAGAAATCCGATTGTTTTGCTGTCTTTTTTGTCAATGTTGGAACTTTCCCGTACAAACTTCCGAAGAGACTCTTTTCTACAAGCCGACGCGCAACAGTTTGCGAAGAAATTTTTACATGCAATTCTCTTTGGATAGCTGCAGATTATATACTTACGATCCACTAAATAACGCCTATAATTGATACATTTATTCCATGATTCTATTTTTTTGGCTCGGAAACAAAAGCACATTGAGTATAAAGATAACAGTTAATGTAATAACATCATATTATTTTAAAAGATAAATATTGTAGAAATCGACCACGACAAATAATAAAGCTCGTTGAATATTTCGGAACCATCTAGAGCTTGGTTGAAAATTAAGCACTGCTCATCAAGAAATAGCACCAAATTTTTTTTCTCAATTTGGTACATTTCTTGTGAGAACACATGTAAAGTTACAAGTCATTTGAATTTTGGGCGTTTTTTCGTCGTATTAGGCTTGGAGCAGATCGATCCACGCGAAGGACGCAACCACACCAGAAATAATTGAGCAAGTGCTTAATATTGTTAGTGAAGATCCAAATTTGACTTAGCGTGAAATTGATAATGCCAAA